CTGCAAGCTGGCTGCAGCTGCTTCAGTGCATGTTTGATTCCCAAGCCCAGAGATGATCCACATGGCACAGCAGACCTCTCCTGACCCACCCACTGCTCCCTTCAGCAGTGTACTTCATTGATCTGTCTGTTCTGCTCCCCATTCTGGCTCTGGTAAAGCCTCTCACCGCCCCTGCTCCTCTGGCTTGTACCCCAGTTCTGTATGAATAAATCATTTTTTTAAAAAAGAAATAAGCCAGTCAAAAAAAAAAAAAAAGAAAAAGAAAAAGAAATAAGCAAAAACCAAAACCAGCAATTCAAAAAGATATTTATAAAAAAGTTCCTTAAAAAAAAAAAAAAGCACTGCAACTAATTCCCCTAAGCTAATATTTAACCAAAGTTATTCCAAATTCCAGTTATTGCTTTTTGAGAGGGTGGAGAGAATTCATCACACTGCTTCTAAATGCTTTCTAAATACAGAAATGCAAGGTGCCAAGAATCATTTTATGGCAGCCTACCAAGTTCTCTTCCCACCGCAGTGACCTGGAGGATTTTTCAGAGTGGGTGTCTAGGAGGACATATGTGGAGATGGACCTATTCTAGTGACAGGCTGGTGACAGTCTAGTGATGGAGCAGATGAAGGACTGGTGGCAAACTGGGCCTTAAAACTTGGAACAAGTGACAGAGAACTGATCCTCACACTACAGAGGGCAACATCCCCTCTCCCCCAGGAATTCACATGGAAACAACTTGTGTTATCAGATGCACTGAAATAAGCAGTTTCAACATTTAAAGAGTGTCATTCAATGCCAGACCATAATGCCTTGTTCATTGCTTGACACTAAATGTTCTTATATCAAGAGGGTGGATAGAAAATAGATCGTGATGATAAAAATATAAAAATAAAAACCCATCAATTAAAAAATGAGGGAACACTTAAGTAGAGCAGCACAGGAAGCAGGAAGAAGAGTGTGAATGGACGCAGGAGCCAGACAAATGTTTGAAAGAGGAAAGCAGCTGCCAAGCCAGTCAAAAGAACATAAAACACTAATCACTGTGTGTATCTGTGCTTCTCTGCCTACCTGATATTTTTGGGATTCAGACAGCCAAAGTGCTGGGCTGATGTGAAGGCAGTACCTGGTAAATTGTTAGGTTTTGAAAAGAAATTTTTTAAAGGTTTATGCATATTAGAACTGAGGTGCAGGCCAGAGGTGTAGGGGGTGAGAGGATTCACCAGAGACAGAGTGGGGAGCAGAACAGCAGACCGAATGAAATACACTGCAGTGTGGAGCAGCAGGTGAGACAGGAGAGGGCTGTGTGCCCTGTGGGTCAGCTCCCTGAACTCGTGCTGCAGTGGCTGCAGATAGCTTCACAGTGCTGCGCTTTAACCTGCTGCACCACCAGATTTTTTAATTTTTTTTCTGCTGTTTCTTTATTTTAGTCATTCAAGTCATCCTTTTTCCTCCCAGTAGTAGACATCATGTCACTATGTTTTTATATTTAAATTTTTTTCAATTTTGTTTGAATGTTAAAATTCATTCTTTGGGGGCCTCCCTGGTGGTGCACTGGGTTAAAGCGCAGCACTATGAAGCTATTTGCAGCCACTGCAGCACGAGTCCGATCCCTGGCCAGGAAGGTGACCTGCAGACCTCTCCTGTATCACCCACTGCTCCCCTCAGCAATGTATTTCATTTAGTCAGCCTATTCTACTCCCACTCTGTCTCTGGTGAGTCCTCTCACCCCCTGCACCACTGGCCTGTAGCCTAATTCTGTGTGCATAAATAAATAAATCCTTTAAAAAATTCATTATTTGCCCCTGGCTGACAGCCTAAAAATTAAAATTAACCTTTCAGTATAAGGCAACATTTTAATCTACTTACTTACATGGTTCAATTTCTCATTTAATGAACTGACTTGTTCCTTTTAGCAATATAAGAGCATCTTGGTAGTTGCTTGGTTAAGAAGAAATCCAACAGTGGGGGGAGGGAAGTGCACTGGACTATGGTGATGGCACACGGGTGATCTGGTGATGGGAAGCCCACAGGGGTTACAACTGAGATGGAAAAAGGCACAAAATGATGTAAAAATAAACTACTATATTATTAAAAAAGAAGAGGAAATCCACTTGCCCAACAGCATGTGCCACTGTTAGTGTATTGGCATAATCCCTTGTGACAAACATGAAAGAAAAGTTTAAACAGGTAATTGCAGCGTCTATTGACATTGGATGACTGAGCAAGATGGCAGATACGGCCCATTAACCATGTACCATCCACTTCATGGAATCCAAAACACCACTGCACTTCCCTGGTTACTTTTCAGTTCCTGAGCAGCTGAAGCAGGGCAGTTATCAAACTCAAATACAGTTAAATCTTCACAGGACTTAGCAATTGTCACAAGTAGAGATATAGGATATGGCTGTCAAGCAGACAAGAAGACAATGAATCCAAATCTTCAACTGGAAACTCCAATCACTACAACTAGTCCCTGAGCTGTTGAGGCCTTATGTGTAGTCACTTGTGCCTTTTAAACAATGTATAAAGTATTGGTGGGAACGTAACTGATAGTCATTATGAAAAATAGTGCGGAAAGTACGCAAAAAATTAAAAATAGAATTTCTTTAGGATTCAGTGATCCTACCGCTAGGCATTTAGCTGAAGATCCAAAAACACTAATTCAAAGGAATATATGCATCCCCATGTGCAATGCAGGATTGTTCACACTAGCCAGGGGCTGAAAACAGTTTTTCCCCTTTTTAAAAAATACATTTATTACATCATCCTTCATTTTTGTACCATGTATGGTTTCCCCGTGCAATTCCAACCACCAAATATACCTACGCACCATCACGATAGTCCCTTGTGCTCTTCCCACCCCAGTCTTGGTCTTTCTCCCTCCTTCTGCCCTACAGAATGTCTCTGATCTGTAGTTGCCTGATGATTTTGATGATTTTGATTTTTACTTTATTATAATTACTTTTTTTTTCTTGTTCCTTACTTGGTTTCTCTACATTCCTCCTATAAGTAAGACAATTTGATGTTTTCCTTTTTTCTTTCTGGCTTTCAGGAGCTGGAAACAATTTAAGTGCCTGTTGGCAGACAATTAGATTAAGAAGATGTAGTCTGTACATATTGGAATACTACTCACCTATAAAAAAGATGAAACACTATTTGCAACATGGATGAAGTTACAGGGTAATGTGCTTAGTGAAATAAAGAAAGGGAAAGATAAACACGGTATCTGACAACAGAAGCAGAAGTCTACTCAATGGGCCCATGAGCAAGGGCATGCAGATGGCCATGTGATGCTTCCATTCTGGAAGCTGGGATGGGCAACTATATGAATCCTTCCTCAGAGCTTCTATAAGGAATGCACCTGCTGATCCATTCCAGGTTTCTGACTGGTATCATTGTAAGATAATCCATTGTATTGTATTAACTCACTATGCTAGTGGGTTGGTGGTAACTTGCTACAGAAGCAGCTGGAAACTTGCACACCATCTTTTATTGTCAGGCTCAGGAGTGGAGAGAATTTTGGTTTTGAATGCTAAACACTGATCTGTTTAAAAGTTTACATTGTTTGATTGCTTAACTTCTTTGCTGAATAAATTACACATCTTTTGATTTTTCACTTTAAGGACATTGAGTTTCCTTCTCAAGTACTTGCTAAAACACTTGTGGGAGCAGGAGTCATTGAGGCTTCCAAGGTGCTGAATGTCATTGTTCACACTAGTGAACACGTGTTTTTCCAAGTGAATGGAAGACTGTGATGGATATGTGCTGGGTTGGCCCCTACATTTGAGTATGGGCAGGATTCATGAGCAATAGAATAGGGAAAACATTATGGAATGCACTCACATGATTGCATTACTGTGTGTGTGTGTAGGTACTTATACACAAACATGAACCATAATAGCCAAGTGA